GACCAAACCACATCAAATTATCAATAACAAAATTAAAAATTATCAGATAATTATAAGATATGAGGATGTTAGAAATTAAATTTTTACATCCTTGAAAGCAAAAATTGTGTTATAAAAAAATAATAAGAGATTAATTTTATCCATCATGTGAGTCGTTATTAAAAGACTGTTTCGAAAAGCAAAAAAAAAAAAAACTTTTAACTGTAATATACTTTTTGAAATGAAAACTTTGTCCTAAAATAATAATAACTTAGGCTTGTTTTGGCAATTCGGCTAGGAAAATGTTTGGTGGCCACAAATTCTGTGGCTCAAATGGTCCGAAAATGCCAAAACGACGTCGTTTTGGCAAAACGACGTTGTTTTGTACCCAAAACGACGTTGTTTTGGCATTTTCGGACCATTTGAGTCACAGAATTTGTGGCCACCAATCATTGCCCATTCGGCTAAACACTTTTTTTTACTTTTTGATTTTTAGTTCATATCACCCCTTCATTTTTTCATACGTTTTTTTTTTTTAAAAAAAAAAGGGTCAAAAAGCTATCTTTTAACTTACTTTTCAAAACAAGCCTGATTACTGAATGTTTAATTTCATCGTTAAAAAATATAATAATGACACTTTTGATAACTAAAATATTTCGTTTTTAAATTTTTGTCTTTAATATTTTAATTTGTTGTAGTGAATCCTCATAGTATATGTGGTACTCCGAATAAACTCTCGACAAATAAGATATCACAAGACATATTTTATCTCTCAACTATCAAATAAAATTAAATCAGTATGTTTCACTTACAAAATTTTTCATTACGTGATTGGTTTAAAATATCACTTACACAATGAACCAGACTATACTACTGAATAGTTATTCTTAAAAAATGGATCTAACCAAGTTATAACTGAAAAATTATTAAGTAATTTTAAAATTTTAAATGATATTAAACAATAAAAAAATGAAAAAATTACTTATAAATCTAATTTAGAGAAAAGTTATTCCATTTAGTCCTAAAAGTCTTCTTTCAAACCAATTAGTCATTTTTATTTTGGGAATGTTGTATTTCCTTGATTTGGGGGTTTGAAAGTTTACTTGTTTGCCTTTGTATGTGATTTTGTTTGGATTTTTTCCCTAATATTGGATGTGCGTGGGTAAGGTAGACTTTTACGTTTCTATTTTTTTTGTGGGAATTTAGTGGAGCGATTTGTAGGTGAATGATGTTATCCCGTTTGTGGTGTTATTGATGTAGTGTTTGTTCATTTTGTAGTGTCCGTCCCTATTGTAATATTGACATTAATTAATATCCAAACGTAACACTAATGTAACACATAAAAAAACTTCTTACTGTACTTTTATCAAACGTAACACTCCAATATAACACTTCAAAAAAATCCTTAGTGTGACACTCTAAAGTAACACACACAAAAAAAAAAAATTCTTATTGTAATACTCTAATGTAACACACAAAAAAATCTCTTAGTGTATTTTTTCCAAACGTAACACTCTAATATAATACACAAAAAAACTTCTTAATGTAACACACAAAAACTCTTTAGTGTAACACTCTAATATAACATACAAAAAAACTTTTTGATATATTTTTTTCCAAATGTAACACTCTAATATAATACTCTAAACAAATTTCTTAGTGTAATACTCTAATGTAACACACAAAAACTCCTTAGTGTAACATTCTAAAGTAACACACAAAAAAATTCCTTTGTGTACTTTTTCTAAACGTAAAACACTTAAAAAAAAATTCATTAGTGTAATACTTTAATGTAACATACAAAAAAATTCTTTGGTGTACTTTTCCCAAACGTAACGCTCCAATATAACAAGAAAAAAAAAATTTCTTAGTTTATTTTTCCTAAACGTGACACTCCAATGTAAAACTAAAAAAAAAAAAGAATGTAAGATTTTCGAACCATTCCAAAAGGAGTACAAAATATTCTGTAGTAAGTTTTGAACAAATGTATAATTGGAGTGTTATGTTTAAGAAAAGTACACTAAGAATTTTTTTTAATTTTTTATTTTACATTAATGCATTTCGTTTGGGAAAAATGCACTAAAGAATTTTGTTTTGAGTGTTACGTTGTTACATTTGGAAAAAAAGTGCACCAAGAAATTTTTTAGTGTGTCACATTGATGTGTTACGTTATTAGAGTGTTACATTAGAGTGTTAGGTTTTTGTTTGTAATGTGATGATAAGAAGAAGACGATAGAGATGGAAAGTGATACAGGCCATTAGCATTATAGCCCTTGTGTAAAATGGCCTTGGTGTTCTTGTCCTGAACCACAAAGGAAGAAGCATCAAAAGTAATAGTGCAATTATTATCTTTGGTGAGTTGATGAACAGAGAGAAGATTGAAAGAGATAGGAGCATGGAGAAGTTTATTGAGTTTAAAAGAAAAATGAGGAGTAGGAAGGAGACCTTTACTTGTGTGGTGAATAAGAACAGAAGTGCCATTGCCAACTGTGATCTGATCAAGACCAGTATAGGATTGAGACATGTTGAGATTGGAGAGATCATGAGTAATATGATCCGAGGCAGCCGAATCAAGATACCAGGGAGCAGCCTCAGATAGAGAAGGAGAAGGAGCATAAGCAACATAAGCTCTTGGTGGAGGATAAGCAGAAGAGAGTTCAGAAGAAGACTGAGATGAAGAATGTTGGGAAGAAGCATATGGATGCACAATCTGATGAAAATTCACATCCAGTTTGTGCCAACAATCAAGAGCCATATGGTTACTTTTGCCACAGATTTGACAATTATAGTAGATGAATAGATTCTTTCTCCACCTCGAGAGTTTTGTCGTCCATTACCACAAAAAGAGCCTCGAAATTCTTCTCTTTGGCTTCGAAAAGAGGATCGTCCTCCTCTTGAAGAAGAAGATCCACTAGTGGAATCTCTCAGTGACACATAGGCAATTGTGTTTTCATGTGATTGCATTTTTCTCGGTTTGGAGTCTATATGGAAAGACTCAGAACACAGAAGAGAAGTTAAGTCTACCACGGAAATAGGTTCAATCCGAGCATGAACAGTAGTTTTAAGAGCATCAAACTCATCTGGCAAGCCATTCAGAGTAAGTAGTACCAGATCTTCATCATCCATAGATGATGAAGCAGGAGCTAATTGATCAGCAAGCTCTTTGACTTGAGTCAAATATTCTTCAATTGATTTGGAACCTTTGGTTAAATGAGTCAATCGATTCTTGATTTGATGGATGTGAGAACGAGAAACCATGGTGAAATGTTTGCAAAGAGCAGTTCATACCTCGAAGCTATGTTGCAGATGAAGAACAGAAGAAAAAATTATAGGTGTAAGAGTAGCAGTTATATAACTGAGCAAATGAGCATCAGTCTTGTTCTAAGTTGCTTGATTTGGATTCAAAACTTCAAGGCCATTGGAGTCAGTGATCATCAATGGAGGACATGGAACTGATCCAATTGCAAACTCTAACAGATCAGTAGCTCGTAAAATATTCTGAAATTGACTTTGCCATATAAGGAAATTGGTGGAATCGAGTTTAATTGTGATGAAAGAATTCAGATCGGAAATTAAGAGATTAAGATTTGCAGGTAAAGAAGAAGAAGAAGAAGATGATGAAGCAGCCATATGTGGATAGGAACTATGCTCGTAGGAGCTTTATTGTAACTCTGATACCATGATGAACAATTGAATCTTTCATTAATCAGATACAATGTATATATATACAGATGATGTAATAACCTCCTAACAAACTATAACAAACTCTAACTACTAACTAATCTTGAGTTAACAAACTCTAACTACTAACTAACTATCTTAAGTTGAAGCAGAGTTAGCTATTGGTGTAACTGCTGAACTTGAGACTGAGTTAGCTGCTGATGTTAATTTAGTCTTATCAGATTTGTTATAGAATGAGAGAAAATCCAAAACTTCTATAGTCTAAATTGCCCAAATGTGTAATTTTACATTTTGAGAAAATTACTTTTATTCCTAAAAAATTAAACTCAAATATGTAAGTGACTACTTTTTTTTTATGTAATTTTCACTTTAACGGGACCATTGGTTTTATAAGAAAAAAGGGAGGATTAAACCAATCACAAAATTATATTGTATGATTTATTGGTGCTTCACCTTAAAAAAATTACAAAACACACTTAAATGCCTCATTTTATTTCTCTCAACAATATAACATAAATGAATTAGCATTATCTCACAAATAAAATTTCTTAAATCATATAAACAATAGAGTACCAACTAATAATTTCTTATAAGGGTTTAGATTCTTTCAAGTTAATAATCTCAACTCGAAAGAACGTTTAGTTTGACAGACCCATTTTAAGATCGACTTCGGCGATCCAAACCATTTACCTTTCAATACTTGTTGAGTAGAATATTCATATTAAAAATTAAAATAATTAGACATCGATAATTATATATTCAAATCCCATTTATATTACAAAAAATTAGTAGTTACTGTTCAAATTATAATTGTCATTTATTTTTTTAAAATAAATATAATTTAAATATATAACTATTGATATTCAATTACCTTAATTTTTTACATAAATGTTTTACTTAATAAATTACAAAGAATAAACTAATCGAATTACTAATTAGTCAAAAATTTGGCCCACCAAGCCCAATGAGTCCATCCCTTGTTATAATTACCCTGCCAATGAAATCATCAAATCCAACGTCACACCGAATTGTTGTCTGACCCGGCCGCCCATGCCCATGACTCCTTTGACTCACGTGCACCAAACTCCTTTTAGAGGGCCCTCCAACGACCACACAACACGTATTTGCACCGATTGCACCACCTTATCATTTTTTTTTTAAAAAAAATTAATATTCTATACATATTTTTATTGATTTATATATAGATTAGTGTATCAACTTTTCTAATCGACCATTACCCCCACGTGTGGCTATATAAAGGCCTAATCTTCATAATATATGTTCTCATACGACCAAAGACCATTGACAACAAACACAACTATTTTTCAAAGCATTCGTTCATGGATTCTCCTTTCTTTCCATACCCATATCCTGAATTCTCACCTCAATCTTCTTTCACTTCACTTGAATCCTCGTCATGTAATAATGTGCTAGGCTTCACCAACCAAACCACCCTTCCCTTCAATGAAAATGACTCTGAAGAAATGCTTCTCTTCGGAGTCATAACTGAAGCAGATAGTGACCACTCATTAATGGGCACCTCTTCATCTCGATCCAGAGATAAAGAGGCATGCTCAGAACCACGTGAAGAACTTATTAATGAGTCACTATCTGCTTCTACTTCGAATGCTTATAGAGGTGTTCGTAAACGGCTTTGGGGGAAATATGCAGCCGAGATAAGGGACTCCACAAGGAATGGTGTTAGGGTTTGGTTGGGGACGTTTGACACGGCCGAGGCCGCGGCTTTGGCCTATGACCAAGCTGCATTTGCGATGCGGGGTTCCTCAGCTGTGCTCAACTTCCCGGTGGAGGTGGTTTACGAGTCGCTTCTAACCATGCATTATGGTTTTGAGGAAGGGTGTTCGCCGGTTTTGGCATTGAAGAAGAGACACTCCATGAAGAGGAAAAGAGTTGGTAGGAAGAAGAAAGAAAGAGAAAATAATCAGACGAGGGTGGAAAATGTGGTGGTGCTAGAGGACTTGGGTGCTGACTATTTGGAGGAACTTCTAAGTTTATCTGAGAGTACTACTACTAGTGTTGGGACTTGGTGAGTGATCTAGGGTTACTCACATTATTTGAAATAAATATTAAATATAATAGTGATATTATGTAACCATCCCACTGTTTAGTGTTTCTGTTATATATATCATATTTTCTTTTCGATGAGGCTGGTGATTGATTTTAGTTTCTATCAGAAAAAGATAAAAAAATTCATTTGTAAAATTTGAAGACGATAGTGGATGATTAAGGAATTGTTTGGAATAATTTAAATAAGTACATTTTTTTATTTTTTATGAAATATGAGTTAGATTTGAAGTGATGTAATAAAGAGGTGATGTAACTTAAATAAATGATGTGACTTAAATAAAATAATAATTTTTTACCTTTTTAACTTTTTTTAAAGGTTACCAAACCTAGCCTAAGTTGTCAATTACGTGGGGCTTGGATGTTTAGTCCATGCACGTTGACAAGGGAACAATCTTTTCTTTCTTTGTCATATTTATTAATTTTCTTTTCAGGAATGATACATCTTCTAATTTAAGAGTTCTAAAAAAGCATTAATAATATGACAAATAATTACAAGAAAAAAAAAATTAAAATCAAAACATCACATCACATGATACCCGCACACCAATTAAAACTATTATAACTCTTAATTTAGAACTCTTAACCTTTTTTCCAATCTTCTTGTCTGTGGGACATGCTCTTTCTTGATTATTAGTATAGCTGTGCAAAGGGACGGACCTACGCAAGGGACAGGTAAAGCCTCGGCAACCCTGCAAAAAAAAAAAAAAAAAAAATTGAACTTAAATTTTAAATTTTAAATTCTAAATTTAAAAATAAAATAAAATTAGAGCTCTACCAAATTTTAAATTTTTGTAATATACTTAATGCAAAGTCTAGGTAAATTTAATCAGGATTTTTTTATTATAACATATTTTTGTTATTTCTTAATTGTATATGCATATTATATTTTAGTACTACAAATAATATAAGTTTCAGACTCAAGAAAAATATCAGAACAAAATATATTAAAATGTACCTAATAAATTATAAAAACTATATGTCGACTAGACTTTTGAAATTGTTCTGTTTCAAAATAATATATATCAAAAAAATTATGAATAAATTGTTATTTTAGTAGGTTATTTTAGTTTTTGACTATTTTAGTAAGCTAAATTTTTTGTGTCTGGGAAGATAATTGGATTTTTATGTAGTTGGATGTGATATTTGTGAGAGAAAAAAAAGTAATTATGGTTTAATGTATCATTTTGTCTTATTAATTATTTTAGTCTATCTTGTCTTTTTATAAATTTTAGTCTAAAAAGCCAAAAAACTACTTTTTGTCAATAAATAGCCCTTGAGTCAACTTTCTGGTTTTGCTCCTGATTGTGCAAGAAGGATATGTATGTATGTAGTTAATTAGCCTCATTTGTGAAATTGTCATTTTAGTTAAAAAGTTAAAAATTTATTAAATAAAATTAAAATTTTGAAAAAAATTTATGTCATACAAAATAGTTAAAAACAAATTTCCATTCATTTTATAAAATCAGAGATTCCTCTCTAGTCACATTACTTTTTGCACATTTATTTTTCATAAAGATATAAATTGATTTTTTTTAATCCAATTTTTGTAGTAAAAATACTAAAAGCCTACTAAAAAAGTCATTTTTCAAACGGGACCCTCACTATATGTTCTCCTCTAAATTATTGGGTGATAAAATTTTTTATAAGTAATACATTTAATCTATATTGTGATTTTTTTATTTATAAAAATATTACATAAATAATGTTATATAATATTTTAAGAATATTAAATAATTTTTCTTGTTCGTAATAAAGAAAAAAAACAATTCTTGTGTGCTCCGGTCTATCCTAATGCTCTCAAGCGTCATGCGTATCCTTTTATTTGAATAGCCTATAAAATGATGGTTTAATTTTTGGAGGCATTGGAGGATTCTCCCAAAAATACATAATAACGTCTCATTCAAGATAGGATTTTGTTTTATTCTTAATTCCTGTAAGCAATATGATAATTAAAAAAATAAAAAGATTATACTACGATAAAATTTAAAAGAAAAATGATATGCAAGTTTACTTTTTAAATCAATTTTATAAATCTAATGATGTGTATGTAATATGATTGGTTGATGATTAGATAGGACATAAGAGAGTGTGTTACCTTTAATATTCTAATTGATTGTTCACTATCACAAAATCATAAATAGATCACACTTTTTATGTGTGATGTATATTATTTAATCACGCGTTTTAAGTTTTGTTAAAGTGTGATCTTTGAGAGTATAATTAAAAATAATCATTTTTAATCACACGTTTTGAGTGTCCTTAAAAGATGATTCCATCATATGTTTTACATATGATAATAAATATTTAGATCACATCTTTTAAGTGTGATTAATAACATTTAGATCATATCATTTAAGTGTGATTAATAACCAATAAAACTTGTGATTGAACTTAAATAATCCATTACTAATTATTAATAATGATATAATATTACAATTATATACATTTCTCATCACGGTTAGTGCGTGTGATAAAAAAAAGATTTAACCACAAAATGTGACTATTAATTGCAGCATATAAACCATAATTAAAATCTGAATAGAACTAATATCTAAAATATAATAAATATTATTTGTACAAGAATTTTCTAAAAACAACATTTTTTTTTTTTTGGATCAGCAAAAAAACGAAACTTTATTGATGAAAAAGCATAGTACATGCGAAATTACAACAACAAAGAAGGGAAGTGCAGAAAGCATCAAAGCAAACCTGAATAATCCCAACTAAGTTGGCACTGCAAAGGAAGTACAATCATCTGCTAGCACTTATCCAAGATTGGTGAGGGACCAATCAAACAAAACCCAAAGAAGAAATCAAACAAAACAAGCACTGCCAATTCAGATCATGACCATATACCAGCCCAACATAGCAGCCTAACATAACACCATGGCAGACCAAAATATCAGTTTAGCATTCACAGATCAAGTCATCGGCTCTTCCTATTGTCACCCACCCAGACTTTGCAACCTTCTCCTCCCAAATAATACCTGATGGCTAACTCTCAAACAATGAAGCAGAGTTGTGCAGCCAATCTGCTTTCATTCTCATGAAGGTCCCCCAATTCCATTGGTGAGGAAACAAGACACTTGAATCTGTGATGATGCTACCATGAGCACCAGCACACCAGATATGGACTGATGAACCAAAAGACCCATAAGACTGATGAAACCAATCTGCTAACTCTCTTGTGAAGACCTACATAACCAATCAAACAAAACCCAATACCAGCAGCAAGCCACACATCAAACCAATCCTCCCATTATCATCACACCAGCATTGAACCTCTGTTGCCCTGAACTCCACCTAACAAGCACTGCCAATCAAACAAATGCAGACCACCAGATTTGATCCAAATTAGACAACCACCATTACTGATACAGTCCTACCCTTCGCAGACCACCAGATCAGATTTAGCAGCCATATCAGATCAGCAATCTACAAATGAGCATAGCAGGCACAAAAAAAGAATGGGCCAATATTGGACCCAGGACTGATGAGCATATCAAACAAATAAAGACTCATAAGACTGATGAAAAATAGGAACACTCCTCATCAGCTAGCACTGCAAAATAAGAACTAACCCAGGACTTGCAGCCTGCATCCAATATTGGACATGCTAGCACTAAGGAATCACCATATTAGTCCAACAGATCAACCCTCAAGACTTGCAGCCCTCTTCTTCCTATACAAACCAGGAATCACCATATCAGTTCAACTTCCATTCCTCAGCAACAAGACTCAAAATAGAACAAATCAGCAACTCAGAACAGAACAAAATCAGAACAGATATTGGGCACCCAGGCATAAGCCAACCAGCCCTGTACACTACAAGAAAACACACCTTTGAGTCCTTTTTTAGTCGCCAAAAGTCGAATTTTCACTTTCCCGACTAAATATTTTAGTCGCCGGTTTTGTCGAGAATACACGGTCGCGAATACCTTTGGCGACTAAAAAAGTGTAAGTCGGCAATACACAGGTCTTCAGTGACCAAAGAATTTGTCGCCAATAGTCAATTCCATTTTTGGAAATTATACATTTAGCGACTAAACTTTTAGTCGCCAATAGTGAAAATTACCCTCCGTTGTTCCCAGGTTTTGAACCTGAGACCTCCTACATTCCAAACATTTACCAGCACAATCTCCCCACTATGCCACTACAACATAAGATGAATATAAATGCAACATATATTATTTATATATTACTTTGACCGATATTAATACAAAACTATATATATATAAATATAATTATATATATTCAATATAATTTATGTAAAAAATAAATTATTTAGTAAAAAAAAATTTAGATCACTTTTGGTGACTAAATAATGGATTTAGTCGTCAATTCTATAATTTTGGGCTACTAATTAATTTTCAGTCGCTAAAAAAATATGTTCCGCCTAAAAACGTCCCCTTTTGGCGACCAAACCTGTTTTTAGTCACCAAAAACGTCCCCTTTTGGCTACTAAAGTGAATTTTAGTCGCCAATTGACTGTTTTTAGCTACTAATTTTTTTTTAGTAGCCAAAAAGCTTGACTTTCAGTGACCAAATTGTTTTTAGTCACCAAAACACGTAGAATCGACGACCAAACTGTTTTTTAGTCACCAAAAACCTTAACCTTTGGCTACTAAAATTTTTTTAGTCGCTAAAACCCCTATATTCGGCGACTAAACTGACTTTTAGTCGCTAAAAACCTTATATTCGGCGACTAAACTCTTTTAGTCGGCAAAAGTGACCAATTTTGGCGACTAATTCCATTTTAGTCGCCAATTCTACAACTTTCAGCGACGAAAAATCCAGTTTTAGTTGCCAAATCTGCTTTTTGTTGAAGTGGTAGCAACACACACAAGAGAACCAACTGGTGTTGCCGAAACAAAACAATTGGACAGATTCTATAGCGATTCCGGTTTTCCCTTCGTTGTTTATTGTATTCCGGACTCGGTTCCGTGGATGATTGTTATTGTCAGTATTGCGTTTCCATCCTTTAATTCTTTTGTATTTGAATTTTGGGATGTGTTGGGCAGGTTTGAAACAGGTTGGTTGTGTTTAGAAACAAATAGCTTCTGCCCAGATTTTGGCCTTTACGCTCGAGCGGGGCTTTTCACGCTCGAACGGGCCATTTTGCATCTGCTCCTCTACTCGAGTGTACAGTTTGATGCTCGAGCGGCATTATTCAGCCTTCAGTATTTTCCCTGCAGGACATCGGATGCTCGAGCGTCCACTTTCACGTTCGAGCGGGGGACCTTCGTCTGCAGAACTTTTGGAAGTGTGCGTTCCACGATCGAGCGGCACTTTTCACGCTCGAGCGGGAGTCTGTGTCTGACGCTCGAGCGAGGCGTTCCACGCTCGAGCGGACTGTGATGTATATCAGTTCGAAGAGAAGCCATTTTGAACCACTTTTTCGATTCTCTCCCTCTCTTTAACTTTCCAAAACCCTAATTTGAGAGCCTCTCTCTCTAGAATATTCTCTCTCTCTCTACATTTTGATCTTGATTTAGTGAGACCCAACCCTTGTGTCTTCATTAAAGTGTTGGAGCTTCTCAAGACCTCCATTTTGATCCGAATAGTTGTAGGTTTGGAGCACTTTCGAGTTTCTTCATCATCTCCTTTGGTTCTCTTCATTTGAGGTAGGGATAACTACTCACATTTATGGCCTTTGACATAAACATGTGGTCATTTTGATTTAATATTGAAGTTGGGAAATTTTTGGTGTTAGGGTTTCAAAACTTGAAATGGATAAAGAGGGGTTTTGTTCCTTTTGAACTATACATGTATATGTGGGTCTTAAAATGAGGTTATTGATGTCTATTGATGATATTTGGATCTTTGGGTCAATGTTGAGAAAAGGGAAAAAATGCCTTTATTGGGCCTAATCGGGTCATTGGTGTAATTAATGAAATTAATTATGGGAATGTGAAATTGATTTGGAAATAATAAAATTGGGAAAATTGTGAGATGAAATGGTGTAGTTGGATTGATTAATCACTCGCCTATGAAAATATTGATAATTTATCTATTTGATGAATTCATGATCTGTTTAGAAATAATTGTTTTGGGCTATCGGTGGAGGATAGTCTTGATTGTTGTAGACACTGCATGATGATTAGGTGAATTAAAACTAATCAATTGAGTATGTCATTGAATATGACGGATGGAATAACACATTGAATATGTGCTTTGCTTGATCATTGTATACGATAAGTCTCATTTTTACGCATAAATTTTATATCTTTTTACCCCAAAACCCTAATCCGACACCTAAAACCCTAATCCGACACTCTCTCTCTCTCTAAAACACTTTCTCTCTCTCTCTCTACAAATACTCCACTGTGCCACAGGAGTATCATCCTCTAAACCGGATTTCTGTTTGGGAGGAGATAGGGGATGGACTCCATTGATAATTAAGTTGGCCGGAGTGTCCAAGGTGAAAGTCCCGAAATCTTGATTACGTTTGCATAACGTAGATGAATTGAAGTGTTGAATTATTATTGATATGAATTGTAGTCTCATTTTGAATTGAAGTATGGAAATGTTAATGATGTGAGTTGTAGTCTCATACTAAGTGATTATGATTGAAGTATTGTTGACATGAGTTGTAGTCTCGTTATAAACTGTCTAGATGAATTGAGAACCATATCTATGAATTGGTTTGGTTAATGAAACGGAAAAGGATTGATATATATATATATATATATCTGTGAATATGGATTGGTTATGAAAGAGATGTACGTCTGTTTATTTGAGTTAAACATTTATCAAAAGCTAATGTTTCAGTTATCGTTCATATTATGTTTAGCATATCTCTACTGGGCGTTGGCTCACCCTATATTGGACATCACTTTCAGGTACAGGTGATATGCCGCCTCCAAGGTTGTAGCTTGGGAGGTTGTAGAAGCTGAAGGCATACATTTGTGATTATCTTGTGTATTACATGTAAATTCAAGCCAAGGGCTTAATGTGTTTAGAGTTAGAACTCTCTATTTTTGTAACCAAGTGTTGGCTTAGAAAGTTGTAAGCCCGTAGGGCATTTACTTTTGTTGTCAACATAAAATACTTTTGAACTAAATACTCTGATAAATGGAAATATGTTTTATTCTTTTATGTCTATGGATGTCTTGAACGATTGGTTTATATGTATTTTTGAGGGCATTACAGATTCATTCACCATTCCTTCAAGCATCTGATGAGCCAACAGATTCATCTACTATTCCTGCTTTAAAAACCAGCCTCAGAAATCAATTTGATAAAAAAACTAGCAGCCTGCATACTCATACAGCCAGCTTCAGAAACTCCCAGCCAGAACAGAAATCCCACAAAACAGAACCAAAACTGACAGAACATACTGTGCAAAAAACCAAAAAAAAAAAAAAAAAACACCAAAAAAGCCACCAGCACCAGCATACTTAGTAGCAATTCAACATCCTTAAGGCCCATTTTCTACACACAGTTGCAGACCTGCTTCAGGTTATATAACACATCGTGCACCAAGTAATTAAACTCTTTCAAGGATGAAACAGCCCACATAGCAACTTTGGTTTTTACTAGATCAGCCAAATCATTCAAAGGCGGTTGTGCTTCATTAAATATGCACTAATTCCTGAGTTTCCACACTGACCACATTACTGCCAATGGTATCATCTTCCAGATCTCCTTTACCTTTTTCTTCATTTTTGGGCCTGACCAGCAGTGAAGTACTGCCTCCACTGAACTAGGAATAGCCCAACTCAAGTTCCACCAACTCACAATACTGGCCTATATTCTCCAGATCTTAGGACAGTGAAGTAGGACATGGTTTAAAGACTCCACCTCAGATTTACAAAACACACACAGTGCACCAACATTAGAATTCAATACTCCAATCCTTTGTAAAAACTCAGAGGATGTAACCCTACCTCTCCAAGCCAACCAGCTCAGAAATTGTACTTTGGGAGGAGCTAAGTTATTCCAAATGCTTTTAGTGACTGTGATAGTTGGCCCTTTACATGCTACCACCCACTTCCAGATTGATGACACATTAAAGACTCCAGAAGGGTGCGCTAACCAAGAGCAATAGTCTTCAGCCCCATCATTTAGTCTAGGAGCACTCTGTAACAAAGCATTAAGTTTCAACACTTCCTCCTCTTCCCACGCAAGAAGAGGCCTTCTAAAATCAATATTCCAGACTGTACCCACTCCTCTGCTATGAACATACTCAAACAGAGTGCCATCCTTTTCAACTGACAAGGAAAATTATATGGGAAATACCTCATTCAGACTTTGATTATTAATCCACCTATCAATCCAGAACCGCACTCTTCTACCATTTCCGACAATTACCTTAAAATTTTGCAAAAAGAAATCTCGCAAGTCAGGATTTTCTGCAGCCACTGAAAGTACACCCTGCCACAAATTTGACATGGGCAGTGACTCTCCTAAAAATGGGCCCCATCTGCCACCCAAACCTCCATACTTACTGCATACCACTTGTTTCCATAAAGCTGAATCCTCTTTGCCATATCTCCACCACCATTTAATTAAGAGGCACTCATTAACTTGACTTAGATTTCTCACACCTAGCCCACCTTGATTTTTACTTAGACAAATCTCCTTCCAGCTAACTAGGTGCACTTTTTTTCAGGATTTCAGAGCCTCCCCAAAGAAAATTGGCTTGAATTTTGTCTAGTGATTTTGCAATCCCCACTGGCAGCTTGAAGATGGATAGGAAATAGATTGGCAAGCTAGTGATTTTGCAATCCCCACTATCAAAACAGACTTTATCAGTGTTAATCTTCCTGCAAAAGACAAATACCTTCTCTTCCATGAAGCTAGCTTCCTCATGAACTTATCCGCTACTGGTTTCCATGAGCTCTTTCTTCTTAGATTTGCTCCTAATGGAAGTCCCAGATAGTTCATTGGCAGCTTTTGGCTGAGGCAGTTAAGGTTTTTTGCAAAGACCTTCACTAAGTCGTCCTGAATACCCACCCCACACACTTTGCTTTTATGGAAATTTATTTTGAGTCCTGACATCACCTCAAAGCATCTTAAGATCCTTTTCAAAGCAACAATTTCTTCCCATTCAACTTCAAAAAATATAATAGTATCATCAGCAAATTGCAAGTGTGATAGTTTCAACTCATTTGGCCCTACTGTGACTCCTCTGATCAAACCCTCTTCTTTTGCTCTTTCCATAAGTATATTAAGGCCCTCTGCTACAATGTTAAAAAGGAAAAGTGAAAGTGGGTCGCCTGGCCTAAGGCCTTTCATGGGGGAAAACTCTGAAGTAGGTGATCCATTAACTAGTACTGTAATTCTAGCTGTAGATATGCACGTCTTTATCCAACCCACCCATTTCTCACCAAAACCAAAATTAGCCATCATTGAATACAAGAACTCCCAATTTACTGAGTCATATGCCTTTTCAAAGTCCAATTTTAGGATGATTCCTTTCTTTTTTGACCTTCTCTACCAATCCACCACTTCATTGGCAATTAGAACTCCATCTAGAATGTATCTTCCACTTAGAAATGCCGTTTGTACTTCACTAATGATCTTGGATAAGATCGTCCTCAACCTTTTTGATAAGACTTTGGCAATTATTTTATACATGGAGATAACCAAACTAATTGGCCTATAGTCACTTAGACCCACTGGGTTTTCCTTCTTAGGAATTAAACGAACTATTCACTCCTTTGGCCAACTTACCATTGGAGTGGAACTCATACATCATCTGCACAATCTCTCCTTTCATGATGTCCCAGCATTTTTGATACACTTTAGATTAAAACCATCCGGCCCCGGGGCTTTATTACCATCACAGTCGTTAATTGTTGCCTAGATTTCATCCTCTAAAAAAATGCCTCCAATAATTTAGTTGAATCTGTTTGACTAAGTGAGGCAAAAACACCTGACAACTTTGGTCTACACCTCCATTCTTCAGTGAACAACTGACTGAAATGACTAACCACAGCCTGTTTAATTATCCCAGGCTGATCATGCAGTACTCCATGCTCATTAACTGAGTTCAACAAGTTTTTCCTTTGCCAACATTGACCACATATGAATAACTAATAACATCATATATTTCATAAATGAAAATCGAATATTGAAAAAATATATACAATAAAAGTTAAGGAATAAAAGGTTTTTTTTACTGTGATTACACAATAGAAATCTCATTAAAAAAAAAAAAAACCTTAGGAAAAATGTAGAGTTATTGAATGTTTTGTCTTCTTTGATCATATTTTTCATCTCTCCAAGCAATTTTTGACCTGAATAAAGAATTTTTGTTATTAGGTACCAGAAAATATCTTCAACAAAACAAAATTAAAAGGGGCATTTGTTTGTATTTACCCCAACAATTTCTAAGCAACCAACAAAAAATTAAAGAACTAAAAAAATACTTAAATATCAGCCAACCAAAAATAAAAAGAAAAAAAAAACTAAAAATGAAAAATGAAAAATTATAATTCTCCTTGTTTCTTTGCATCAGAAAATATCTTCAACAAAACAAAATTAAAAGGGGCATTTGTTTGTATTTACCCCAACAATTTCTAAGCAACCAACAAAAAATTAAAGAACTAAAAAAATACTTAAATATCAGCCAACCAAAAATAAAAAGAAAAAAAAAACTAAAAACTAAAAATGAAAAATTATAATTCTCCTTGTTTCTTTGCATTTTCCCCAATTTCCTAATCAGCCAAACAGAAAATCAATAAACAGAAAAAAAAAAAAAAAAAAATTAACATCTACCAAAAATTGTAGGATATAAAAGAAGAAATGGAAAAAAGATACAATGGTGAGGCATTTATAGGCTTGAAGGAGTCTTTAGGGATGAAATGGGTCCCCACACATATAATTAAAGGAACAGTCTTTGGGGGATGGCAAATTCAACTAATGATTCATGGATAATAAGAGCAATTATCAATCTGAGAGAGTTGGCTTAGCCTTTGATTAGAGATATCCCAACCCACACTAAAAAAATAATCTTTCTAAAACAAGAGATATCCCAAAATCTTCGAAGGTTAGGTTGGTTATCCTTTCAAATATAATAATAACGAAGGTAATCCAGTCACAAATGGAAATAAATGAATCAGCTAGGTAACTTCAACACAATTAAGGTCAATACCAAATAAGGACCCAAATGACATACCTGATATAGTTGTGGACCCTTGTCATGAAAGCCAACAACCAACAGTGAAACACTAAAATGCCTTATACCACTGCACAAGAAACAGAAGGGTAAGAAATTGCAACAAAAATAAGCATATGCAAGAGCTAAGATAAATCACATGAGAAGTCATAGAAGCAGAGATGAGTCTTAATGTGAAACCTAAGAGGAGGTTAACATAAGTTCCAAAACCATTACAGATGTTGGGGTCAGCTTCAAAAACTTCAAGATTGAAGTATCTTGTCTCAGATAGAAATTACGAGTAATCAACTTGACTATGCACAACAATTATTGAATTTTTGAAACCCAAATAAATACAAAATAACTTAATTCCAAAGTATAGCCCAAACTTGTTAATGTGTACGCAAAATATTTTAGCATTCTTGATTGGTAAGATTGCTTTATATCATTAAATCTTACTTTCTTAATTTATGAATGATTTACATGCAAGCTTTGTCTCTTTGTGGCAAATATAGAAGATGAAAACTGATAATTTAAACTTCACTTACCTTAAGTCCGAGTTTCCTCAGTAATCTTTGTTGGAAAAAAAGGTTTTATGGTGACTTTAATGTGAAATTAAAGTAGGTCCCAACCATTGGTTGAGGTGGGATTAAATGGGTTTAGATTATTTGTAATAAGGTCTTTATACCACAAAAAGAATGACAAAAAACCCATTAAGAATTGAATGAGAAATTGTCTCACAAAGTTGGCCTCATGAATGAGGTATTGGGAATTGTGTATAACTACCATTCCTACATTGATTGTAGAGGAAAACTTTGATAGTATTTAAACCTAAAGATTTTGATAAGGGTATGAGCCTTTTGGGGCATCCAAATTTTTCGAAGGAAGGGAGTAAATGTTTCAAGGATGGGTTTGGGCCAAGACTATGGTCTAAGTTGGCTATGCAAAAATTGCCATACGTGCGTGTGCGCCGCCCGGACTAGGCCTGGTCCAGGGTCTGTGATCCGTGGGTCGTGGATCGTGGGTTGGAGGCTGGAATGGGTTAGGTTTGGGCTAGGCCAAATTGGTGGTCCACCAACCTAATCTTTTTGGGCCGAATCTGTAAAGTGGCTCCTAATATATTTATATATTCACACACGTGTGTAACTCACACACTTAAGTCCCATCAATTTTGCAGAAGTTATTGGGTAGTTTTGCCTGCATTAGTTGCCAGCCTTCATGGCTGGAAGGTTTCTCCTCTCTCCCCCATTGTGTATAAAAGGAGGCCCATCTCCCTTGGTTTCAACATAGAATTTTTGCTTCTAGAACATGTAGTCAATTTGTTCCTATAATTTTCTTCCTATATGAGAGAGTGCTGCTATTGTTGGTTTGCCAAAGCTAACAGAAGGTGCTTTTGCTTGGCCGATCTAAACAGTTGTATCTAGGGAGACAGAAGTCGACATACCTCCACTACCCACGGTGAAGCGGGTAATCTGTTTTAAGGAAACTATGGTATCACACAAGTTTCGGTTTGCTTCTTTACAATTTTTTGATTTGATATGTATTTCTGTTCATCATGTTTATGGTCTGGAATTTATTTTATTAAATATGAATTTATTTGTTTTGTTTAATTACACAATTTATACAACAATCTTAAGACAAATTAATAGATTCCCCATGAAATTATACAAATAAAATTCATGATTGGGATGTATTAGTTTATTTGTTGTTTGCTACTGGTCATGGAAAATCAAAAGGTGTTCAGAATGATTAATTATATACTTTTTCTTCTACACCTCTTGTTCCGGAGCCTTAATATATATAGGAGTTCACTATTTCCCACCTGGAGTTCATGATTCCTTTAATCATAGATATATATTTGTTCTGTACCTAATATTCTTACATGCTTAAGTCCACTGTTATTCAATTTAGTTGGTATGCTATGCCATTGATTACATATATGAATTCATGATTACAAATCTCTGTTTAGATTAGAAAATTTATATATGTAATGGTATGTGTTAATTTTATGGTTTTAATTTAATCAGAATGCTTAATCTCATGGTTTTAATTTAATCAGAATGTTTAATCTCTCTTGCATAATTTGTATGCTTATTTGGTTATAATATAATTTTATTGTATGAGCATGATTCATAATTTCCTACCATGCTTTGCATGTCTTTTTATTTTATAATTTTATAATATAATTTGCATGCTTATGAGTGTTTAAGTTGTAGTTAATATTGACATGCTAATTATTTTCTAGTTTCTAGTATAATCAACATGCTCAATATATATATATATTTTTTTACATTCTAGTTTACTTCACATGTTTATTAATCCTAGATTTGTAGGATATTTGCATGATCTTATTTCTAAAATAATTTACATGATAATTGCTAGGAACAATCACATGTTTTTTATTTTTTATTTTTTATTTTTTATTTTTTTGGGTACATTGGAAAAAAAAAAAAAAACATTCACATGTTTATTACATGGTTTTATTATGTAAAAATTTCATATAACTCTTGCCTATTAAATTTTTAATTCAAGTATTTGGAGTTATAATTTTTTTTGTAGCTTGTTTGTATTTATGTACATGATTATTGTGTAATAATTTCCTATAACTCTTGTCAATTAATTTTAATTTAATTTTTAGAGTTATAAGGTTTGTAATTTATTTAAGAGTTATAAGTTTAATTGCATAACTTGTCTAGCATTTTTAATTAAATTATTGATTATTTTTACAATTTCTTTAGATTATTTGTTTTGTACTTTGTTGTGTTTTCTGCTAAGTTTCTCTACAGGAAAATCTATGCGGAAGAGGATGGGAAAAAATACAAATCCCAATGGAAAAATTTTGGATTGCAATAAAATTTGGACTACTAACCTTTTTGATTGAACAAAAATACCAAAGCGAGGAAAGGAATTTTGGACAAATAAGAATCCTTATTTGGATTAGTTTCATTTCTTTTTATTTGAAGCAATGTTTTGCTTGAGTTTTAATTTGGTTCATTTACCAATATGTAGAAGTAAGTTTTATTTGCTTATAACTGTTGTAGCAATTTTTTGTAAATTGCATGTAAGTTTGGAACTTGGTTTGGTTTAACCTAGTTCATCCCCTGAAAAACTTAATTCGGAAAATTATTTTCCATGGATTAGGAGTCAATATGCTCCTGAAAGTTTTGTCAAAAGGTTAACTAGGTTTTAAGTGGGACCGATGTAACCCTCCAGTCTTCCTGGGAACATTGCTGACCATGTTCGATTCTAGGTTAAGTGGTGAGACTAGTTTTGAATTAAATTTCCAACTTTGAGATTTTCTAGTGTTAAGTTTAATTTTTGGAAACATAGAAAGTAAATTTATGTCATATTTTTCAGAAATGACAATTGTCACCGATGCTGCTGCTGCTTCTAATGTTGGTGGGGATCAAAACCCCGGGACAATTGGCTTGCCAACCTCTGTGATCAACTTGGTTGTTGTGACCTTTGTGGTAAACCCTGTTGCTGCTCCTGCTATTACGGGAGGCCCGCTCAACCATCATGAGCGTCCGAAGAAGTTCACGGGAGTGAATTTCAAGAGGTGGCAGCAGAAGATGTTGTTCTGCCTGACTACTCTAAGCCTTACGAGGTTTTTGAGTGAGGATCCACCGGCCGTGGAGGAGAATGAGCAAGACAAACAGAAACTCATGGCTCTAGATGCTTGGAAGCAGTCAGACTTCTTTAGCCAGAACTATGTTCTGAATGGCTTGGCAGATTCACTGTTCAATGTGTTTTATGCCAAGAAGTCGACAAAGGAGCTGTGGGATGCTTTGGACAAGAAGCACAAGACCAAGGATGCTGGGGCAAAGAAATTTGTCGTTGGTCGCTTTGTGGACTTCAAAATGGTGGACTCAAAAACCGTCATTAGTAAAGTCCAAGAGTTTCAAGTAATTCTGCACGAGATTCATGCAGAGAGAATGTTCCTGAGTGAATCATTCCAAGAAGGTGTGTTGATTGAAAAGTTGCCTCATGGCAGGAAAGACTTCAAGAACTACTTGAAGCATAAACAAAAGGAGATAATAGTTGAAGAGGTCATTGTCAATCTCCGGATTGAGGAAGACGACAGGAGGAAATGAAGGAATACCTCCACTATGAAAGCAAACGTGGTTGAGCATGGCCAGTCCTCAGGGATAAAGAAGAAGCCACCGACAGGCAAAAGCTCAAAGTTGGGGGCAAGAGATAGTGTCTCCAAAAGGATGGTCTATAAGTCGCATGAACCTACTTTTAGGTTTAATGGAAAGTGCTTCAACTGTGGAAGCGATGGGCATTGGGTAGTTGACTGTCGCAAGAAGAAGAAGCCTTACAACAAGTTCCCTCCACAACACAAAAGCTGGGCTCACATGGTTGAGATGAAGGATCTCTTACAAGATGTGGACGACATTCATCTGGCAGCTGTCATCACCGAAGTGAACAAGGTGGGGTCTAACCCGAAGGAATGGTGGGTAGACACTGGAGCCACTCGCTACATCTGTGCAGAGAAAAATATGTTCACAGCTTTCAAACCGGTTTCAAATGGTAAGAAGTTGTTCATGGGAAATTCTACGACCTTAACTGTTGCGGGTAAAGGTAATGTGGTCCTGAAGATGACTTCAGGAAAATAGCTAACTCTGAATGATGTCCTATTTGTATCGGACATTCGTAGGAACCCTGTCTCAAAGTCGCTCTTAAGAAAGCATGACTTTTGTTAGGTATTTGAGTCAGATAAGGTCGTGTTGACCAAGAGCAGGGTCCATGTGGGGATGTGATATATGTCGGGCGGTATGTTTAAGCTCAATATAATGACTCTTGTCCCTAAAATTAATGAGAAAGCTTCTTCTTCTGGCTATATGCTTGAGTCCCCTAATTTATGGCATGGTAGACTGGGTCATGTAAATTTTGACTCTTTGCATAGATTAATCAAGTTAGATCGCATACCATCTTTCAAGATTAATCCAAATCATAAGTGTGAAACTTGTGTAGAAGCAAAATTGACAAGGACTTTTTTTTCATTTTGTTGAAAGAAGTACCTAGCCTTTGGATTTGGTGCATAGTGATGTGTGTGACTTAAAAGTCGTTTAATGACGTGGTGACAACAAGTACTTCATCACTTTTGTTGATGAATGCACAAAATATTGTTATGTGTATTTGCTTAAAAGCAAAGATGGACGATTGATAAATTTATTCTTTTCAAGAATGAAGTTGAGAATCAACTTAGTCGAAAGATCAAGGCTATAAGGAGTGATCGTGGTGGTGAGTATGAATCCCCGTTTGCTGAGATTTGTGCTCAATTTGGAATTATTCACCAAACCACAACGCTTTACTCCCCTCAGTCAAATGGTATGGCTGAGCGGAAGAATAGAACGTTAAAAAAAATGATGAATGCAATGTTAATAAGTTATGGGTTGCCACAGAACTTGTGGGGGGAAACGATTCTCTCCGTGAATTACATTCTAAATAGAATCCCTTGGAAGAAAGTAGACAAGACTCCATATGAATTATGGAAAGGTCACAAGCCTTCTTATAATTTCCTACGAATGTGGGGGTCTACACCCAAGCAGGTTAGAATAGGTTTGAAAACCGTGGATTGTATATTCATTGGTTATGCCTAGAATAGTAGTGCATATAGGTTTCTTGTGTACAAGTTTGATATTTCAGATATACACAAGAATACCATAATGGAGTCAAGGAATGCATCCTTCTTTGAGGACGTATTTCCTTGCCGAACCCAATGAGAGGATCAAAGTTCTTAAAAGGAACTTGAAGATGATCAAGATGGGGAAGTAGATGAGCCAAGAAAGAGTAAAAGGGCTAGGATTGCCAAGTCCTTTGGCCAGGACTTCTTGACTTATATGTTAGAAGGAGAACCTCGAACTTTTCATGAAGTTGTGACTTCACTTGAAAGTCCCTTATGGAAAGAAGCAATTAAGAGTGAAATCAACTCCATCTTACAGAACCATACTTGCGAGTTGTTTGATTTACCCCTAAGCAGTAAGGCCTTGGAGAGTAAGTGGATTTTTAGAAGAAAGATAAAAGCGGATGGGTTAATTGATAAGTATAAAGCTAGGCTAGTTATCAAAGTATATATGCAGCGAGAAGGCCTGGATTATTTTGATATGTATTCACCTATGACAAGGATTGCATCCATTCGCATGGTGATTGCGATAACCGTTTTATGTGGTCTGGAGATACATCAAGCGGATGTAAAGATAGCTTTCTTAATGGAGATTTAGATGAAGAAATCTACAGAGAGCAACCTGAGGGGTTTTCAGCCCCAGGGCAAAATAAGAAAGTCTGTCATCTTGTCAAGTCATTATATGGTTTGAAGCAAGCTCCTAAGCAATGTCATGAGAAGTTTGACAATGCTATGTTGTCAAATGGATTTAGAATCAATGAGGGTGACAAGTGCGTATATGTTAAAGACATTGACAGAGGTTATGTTATTTTGTGTCTATACGTAGATGACATACTCATTGTTGGTAGTAATGACGAAATGATTAAAACTACCAAGAGATTGTGAAACTCTAAGTTTGACATGAAAGATATGGGCCTCACAGATGTTATTCTGTGTATTAAGATCACCAGAACATCTAGTGGTATTGTACTTTCTCAATCTCACTATGTTGAGAAGATACTTGAGAAACTTGGTAAATCAAATACAAGTGTGTCTAGGACACCAGTAAACGTAAGTCTACATTTGACCAAGAATAAGGGTGAGAGTGTCTCTCAGCTAGAATATTTTCGGGTAATTGGAAGTTTAATGTATCTCATGAGTTGTACAAGACCGGATATAGCCTGCTCTGTTAGCAGGCTTAGTAGATACATGAGTTATCTAAATGCCACTCATTGGAGAGGTATTATGCGGGTGTTAGGGTATCTACGCTACACCCGGGATTATGAGTTGCATTATAGCAGATGCCTAACGGTACTAGAAAGGTATAGTAATGCTAATTGGATATCCAATATAAAGGATTCCAAATCCACTAGTGGTTATGCGTTTACCCGCCTCGGAGGGGCAGCCGTGTCTTGGAAGTCTTCTAAGCAAACATGTATATCGAGATCAATGATGAAATCTGAGTTTATTGCTTTGGATAAAGCAATTGAAGAAGCTAAAAGGCTTTGCTAGTTCATTGAGGATATTCCACGTTGGCCGAAACCTGTGCCTGCTATTTGTATTCATTGTGATAGCCAATTGACGATTGGATGGGCATAGAGTCATATGTATAATGGAAAGTCTAGACATATCCGTCGTAGACATAATTTCATATGACAACTACTCTTTAATGGAGTTGTCTGTCTAGACTATGTAAAGTCTAAGGACAACATTACGGATCCGTTAACCAAAGGGCTAACACGAGAGTTAGTGGAAACGTCGTCAAAAGGAATGTGGTTAAGGCCTTTAGTGATGTTACCGGAATGGAAAACCCAACCTAGTTGACTGGAGATCTCAAGATCTAAGTTCAAAGGAACAACCTAATTTCATGTGACGGGTGAGTCACTGAAGAGGTAAATCTTCTTGCCCATTCCTTTGTATAGTGATACCCTGTGGGAGTGGTAGGTTAAGCTAATATTTTTAATGACCTAAGTGATATGAATAATCAACCGTGGTATAATGAGATACTTGATATAGGTCACCTATGTGAGTGTGAAGTGGAGCGGCTTCTTTAAGAATTGGTAAGGCCGAACTTTTTAAAAACCACTCACTAAGCCAGGCTAGTGTTCTGGGGACATACCAGACACACCAGTGAGAACAAGAACAATGGTTGGACTAACTCTCGTGTCAGGTCTATTGTCTCGGTTTACACAAACGGTAGAATAGATCAAGACATCACGTTCACTAGACAACCAGTAAATCCGATAGGTTTTTACTACGAAAGGTTCGAGGCTAACAACTACCTTTTCTGATGAGGGTTAGTCTATGTGCTCTTTCTTTGAGTCTTTGTTGTAAACGTTGTCTGTTTTTCTTTATTCGGTCAATTTTTATTCATATGGGGCATTGTTGGAAAAAATGATTTATGGTGACTTTAATGTGAAATTAAAGTAGGTCTCAACCATTGGTTAATGTGAGATTAAATGAGTTTAAATTCTTTGTAACAAGTTCTTTACACCAAAAAAAAAAAAAAAAAAGACCAAAAACCATTAAGAATTGAATGAGAAATTGTCCCATAAAGTTGGCCTCATGAATGAGGTATTGGGAATTGTGTATAACTACCAATCCTACATTGATTGTAAAGGAAAACTTTGATGGATATCTAAACCTCAAGTTTTGATAAGGGCATGATCCCTTTGGGGCATCCAAATTTTTTTAAGTAAGGGGGTTATGATGTTTCAAGGATAGGCTTGGGTCAAGACTATGGTCCAAGTTAGTGTTGCAAAAATTGCCCCGCGTGTGCTACCCGCCCAGACCAGGCTGGGTCCAGGTTCGTGTTTCGTGGGTCGTGGATCTTGGATCTTAGGCTTGGGCTTGGAGGCTAGAATGGGTTAGGTTTGGGCTAGGTCGGATTAGTGGTCCACCAACCTAATCGTTTTGGGTCGAATCTGTAAAGTGGTTGCTGATATATTTATATATACACACGTATGTAACACACACACACAATTAAGTCCCATCAATTTTGCAGACGTTGTTGGGTGATTTTGCCTGTATTAGTTGCCAGCCTTCATGGTTGGAAGGTTTCTCCTCTCTCTCCCGTTGTGTATAAAAGGTGGCCCATCTCCCTTGGTTTCAACACAGAATTTTTGCTTCCATAATACATAGTCAGTTTGCTCCTATAATTTTCTTCTTGTGCAAGAGAGTGCTGCCATTGTCGGTTCGCCAAAGCTAACAGCAGGTGCTTCTGCGTTAGCTGGTCTAAACCATTGTATCTTGGGAGACAGAAGTCGACATACCTCCAACACCCACGGTAAGGTAGCTAATCTGTTTTAAGGAGACTATGATATCACACAGACTTCAGTTTGTTTTTTTACAATTTTTCGATTTGATATGTATTTCTGTTCGTCATGTTTATGTTCTGGAATTTATTTTATTAAATATGAATTTATTTTTTTTGTTTAATTACACAATCTGTACAACAATCTGGCAATGCCCTTGGAGCGAGTACCATATGCATCCATAACTATGACCTTGGACCTGTCCTATACATAGGATAAAGACATTACTCTGAACCATCATATTAAAATTCAGATAGAAACAAGGGAATATATTACTAAAAAGCACATGATATAATCTCATTGCCACTAAAATAGCCCCATCATAAATCTTAAAAACTCATATTTTCCCTCCAAATATTAACCATTAGATCTATTCACCTCCAAATTTTAATTTAATTTTTGCTTTAGATAGATGGCAAAAATAATTTTTTTTATTAAAAAAGTTAAGTTTTCTCCAAGCCAAGACTTTTCTCCAACCTCTCCAAAGTAATGTAAATCTACTTATAGCACATGTGAGATCATAATAAAAGATACCATGAGACAAAAATGTTAATACACTTAAAATTAAATTAAATCTCAAACAAATATATGATTAGCATGGACATTGCAAGCTTCCAAAAACACCTCTACTATTTGAAAGTTGATTTCAAAAAGGACTATTTTTTCTCAACCATTCAGAATAATTTAATTAGACAAACTAACAAATACTCTTGAGGATGATTTCTTACCTAAAAAATTTTGAGATGGGAACCAACCGTTGAATCATCTACATCAATAATCAACTAGTCATGGATCCATGTATATGGCTGTATGCTAAGGGAAAGAAAAAGAATTGAACATACTTGCTGAAATGCTGTCCCAACTGGCCTTAAGATTTTTACTACCCTCTCTTCAGACAAACTTAGCACATTTTGGGCTTCTGGTGGAAGCAAATCCTTTGTTGATCCATATGCATAAACAACATAGATGGTGCCTTGATATACAGAATCCTCAATCGGAACAATTGTACATCTCAAGATATTTAATATATGGTAATTGGATACAAACCAATTTGTATCTACAAAACCAAGTGACCTGGATAATTTCTTGGCTACAAAATAACTCAGAAAACCAAATCAAGCATTAAGTCCCATCACAAAAAAACTCAAAAAAATAAAAATAAATAAATAAATAAATAAAAAGAATAAAAAAAATAAAATTCAGAAACAGTAGGAACTTCCTATTTAAAAGTCAAGTGCCATCACATTCTAGTGCAATAATCAGTGCCATCACTTGTGGAAAGATTGCTTTAAAGCTTTTACCTAGACAATATATGTTATAGAAGGACTATAACACTTTCCAAATGTACATAAAATTTTCAAGATCTTCTCTGATAAGTTGAACAAGAATCATGACTCCTGTGACAGGAATCCATCAGGCATTAAGAGATACAACAATAATTTAATAATCAAAGATGTGTAGCTGTTAAGTGTTAAAGTAGACTTGAATAAATGGGAAGTCAAAAACCGAAACTAGAAAATAGATTTAATTTGCATATGTAGCATTTTACATTGTGGAATGAAATGGAGTTAAAAATAATATTAACAAGACACAAGCTTAAAACACTGATTAGATGTTAACTGTAATACTCTATAAAGTAGCTTGAATAGTGAATATAGATTGAAAAACATCTAAATATTCTCGGGCCCCATGAAACCATGAAAAATGAAGTATCCAGCAAGAAATATGAACTTGTAATGGTAGAGGAGTGATGATATACAGAAGAAACTTTAATAATTTCCTTGAGAAGTCTAGAAACTTTGAGGGGCTCCTACATCAATAATACAACCAGATTACATGGTCAATTCAAAAGGAACTCCATTGGAAACATCACAAATAACAATCTAAACAATCACATCTCTTTTTCCTTTTTAATGGTACTAAAATAGTCAAAGAAGATAGTGAGTGAAATTAACCAAAATAAACAGAGGTAGGAAAATAATATGTAGTTTGAGTGGAGAATTTATGCAAACATGTGTGAAGCATTGTATAAAAACACAACTAAAATACAATATTAATAAACCCCATTTGACATTTTGAATCCATGAATCAAGATCATCATATCATTAAAAAAAAAATCAAAATTCCAATCATTCGTCAATGGTGGTGTGTGGGTAGTGCGAATGGAACAAAAAAAAACCTAGAGGCCGAAATTGGGGGAAGAGAGATAGAGATAGAGATAGAGAAACATACACATAGAGTGAAAAATATAAAGGAGATACCTGGGGGTAGTGCTCCAATGGTGCATCATGCTATGAGATAAGAAGAGAATGGTTGCTGGTTTGCGATGGTGATATCAATGGCAGTGGTGGTCGTCGAGGGAATGGTGAGTGGCGGTGGCCAGTGATGATGTGTGACAATGAGCGACGATAGAAGATTGACAAACACTTTGTGGTCCTATGTGACATTGAGATGAGCGATGGTAGTGACTCTGTGAGAGAGAGAGAGTGAGAGATAAAGAGAGAGAGTGAGACCCTGTTTGTGAAGAAAAAAAAAAAATTGAGAGAGAAAGATACAAAATAATGGCACATATTTGTAATTTTGGGAATATTATTTTATATAAAAATAAAATTGAAAAAATATATACAATCACACTTCTAATAAAAATGAGATATTTTTATTTTCTCCTGTGTGATCTTTAATTATTGTAGTAGTGTATATATAATCACACATTAATTAGAAAGTCTGATTAAAAGAAATATATATATATATATATATATAATGGCACTTAATTGAAAATTGATATAAAAAAATAAATATAATCAAATGTTAATTAGAAGGTGTGATTAAAAAATATATATATAATCACACTTAATTGAAAAGTAACATAAAAAATATATATTATCACACTCAATCAAATTAAGTGTGATTAAAATATCAATCTAATTTTTTTTAATCACACTTCTAATAAAAGTGAGATATTTTCATTTGCCAAAATTTGATCTTTAACTGTTTTTGTAGTAGTGGCTACATCGCTGGACTTGAAAATTTAATTTAATTTTTGATCTTGAATAATAATACTCTATTCAAAGGAAAATCTATTCATAAATCCTATATGGGGAATGTTGATCCATTTAATTCTAAGAGTTTTCATATGAATCAATTAGCCCTTTTTGTTTTGAAAAATTGTATCTATTTGATTTAGTACCATTTAAGTTTAAGTAAATGCTTTTTTGTGATCCATTTTTCCAATTTTCTAATTCGTTTTTGGCATGGGAATGGAAATGTGAGGTATGTGAGATTCTTTTTGGGGAGATAGATAGCTGAAGTGTTGGTTGTCGAGTGTGAAAATCTACATTTCTATTAATGTGATTTTCTGGTGTTACATTAAAGTATTACATAAGAATGCCGTGTTTTGCAATGTAGTGTTATGTTTGAGAAAAATATATTAACAAATTTTTTTTTGCAATGTTACATTATTAAATTTGAGAAAAGTATACTATGGAGTTTTTTAGTGTGTTATATTCAAAGAAATTACACTAAAGACTTTTTGTGTGTTACATTGATTGGAGTGTTACGTTTGAGAAAAATAAATTAAGAATTTTTTTATTTTATTTATTTATTTTTTTAATGTTATGCTGTTACGTTTGAGAAAAATACATTAATGAGTTTTTTAGAGCTTGTTTGGGAAGAACATTTGGGCTAAAATAGTCATATAAGACAAAATAGGCTATTTTAGCCAAATAGGACAAAATGTTTACATCCAACACATAATCATTTCATTTTTTCTCTCACAAAAGTCGAAAAAGCCAAAAAGCCTATTTGAAACGAGGCTTTTTAGCTTCAGGCTAAAATAGCCAAAAAGCCACAAAAGTAAAAAAGTCAACCCACATCCCAGACGAGCTCTTAGTTACATTATAGTGTTACGTTTAGGAAAAATATACTAAGGAATTTTTGTATGTTACATTGATTGAAGTGTTACATTTGGAAAAAGTACGCTAAGAAGTTTTTTTTTTTTAGAATTTTACATTGTTACGTTTGATAAACGTACAGTAAGGAATTTTTTAGTGTTGCTATATTAGAATATTATATTTTTGAAGTGTTATATTGGAGTGTTACGTTTGAGAAAAGTACACTGGATTTTTTTTTTTGAAGTGTTATGTTTAGTAATTTTAAAATTATGAGAAAATTCACATTTGTCTCTCAACACATAATACACGAGCGTTTATGCTTGGCCCTTTATGTAATTGACACTAGAATGAGACCTTTAGGTCTATAAGAAAAAAAGAAAGACCAAATAGTTTATAATATCACTATTGGAGATTTATTGGGGTGTGTTTTTTTCCCTTATTCAAAATATCACACTTAAAAAAAAAAAAAAAACTTTTATCAATCAAACCAGCCATTATTCTTGCAAAACATGGCATTTAATGGTTATTATTGAATGGTTTTCGGAAAAATTATAGGCTTAAGTATTCTAAAAAGAGTTATATATATTAAGGCACTGTAAACAACTCATTTTGACCGGTCTTAAAATTTGGACACTTTCTTTTAATTACCCAATGATGAAAATCAGAATGGTAATAATTGTTGTTCTCCGTTGCTGCCACAACCACCTTAGTGCTTATGAATTTTATTAAACTTTTTGCAATTTTTTTTTATTTTTATATTTATAGATGGTGCATTTGTCTATTTTATATGTTTTACATCTCTAATAATTATTATTGGCTAAAGAAAGAGATAAGTTGGCTAATTGTTTCTGTTTTAAACTTGCAGGAGTCACTACAACAATCCGCACCATTGGCGATCACTTTTGGCTACTAAAACATTTTTAGTCACCAAAAGTTAGCCCTTTGCTGAAAAATTATCCTGTTGGTCTACAATGATTTAATTTTTATCTACTAAATTTTTTTAGTAGCCATATATTAGTTATCGGGGACCAAAAAAATATTTAGTCACTAAAAATATGTCAATAGGTGACTAAAAAAGTTTTAATCGACATTTGTTTACATTTTAGGCTACTAATTTTGGTTTTAGTCGGCGTACATAGCCTTTTGTAGACCAAAATTTCTTTTAGTTGCCAACAATAGGCTTATTTATTGCAACCATCAGTGACTAAAACACTGTAGTCGTAGATGGGTAGTTATTGCTGACAAAAATATTTTTAGTAGCCAACATTAAACAAACAACTACAAACTTTTAATTGCTATTGATTGCATTTGCCGACCAATTTTTATTTAGTCGCTAAAGGTTGGGAGTTTTTTTAGAGGGAAATATTGGCGCCCTTCCCTCTTTCTTTCACACAAATCTTTTGTTTGTTCTGTCTCACAAACACACAGACCACCAGTACACCAAACCAGATGCATGCTCACTGATGGTTACCACCTCACCGTCGGTCACCACCTTACCGTCGCACGTCGCCACCACCGTAAATCACCACCTCCATTGCCGCAAATCACAGGTTCTTGTCCCTCTCTCTGTGTTCCTCTTGGTCCTCTCCCTTTCTGTCGATCTAGGTCTCTCTCTCTCTCTCTCTCCTCACTCTCTCGAGCCATCTCTCTCTCTCTCTCTCTCTTTACCCCTTCCCCTATTTCCCTATCTCTCACACTTCATCTAGGGTTTATATGATTTTTTTAGTTTAATTTTGTGTTGATTTCTGTAGACACCCCATTTTTGACCACCCTTAAGACTTGGGCGCTTTATTTCAAACACCCGATGATGAAAGTTACGCTGTGCAATCTTTTGAATTCTCAGTGAAGAAATTTGGATTCAAGCTCTAATCTCAAACCTTGCACCCCAGTTTGGCCAAACTATTTTAGACCTTAAAACTCTCATTTCAAAATATTTTTCCAAATGCTTCTACGATATTTTGAGGCTCGCATTTCGTTTAAAACATTGCACTTTTCGGTAAATCGAGTAAGGACAAAGTGTAGATACATGAAAGGGAGGTGAACACTTTGAAAAAATCTTTAAAACATCTTATTTATAGGTTTTGAGTTAAAGAAAATAGGAGGGGAGGGAAGAAAACTAGTTCGGAGAAGTTAGGCATCAATCCGATTAAGATAGAAATGAGCAACATTTACTAAAATAGGCATATCTCTTTGCACACTTAGAATTTAGATATGAGTCTACCACCATTGGAAATTAGACTTCCGGGGCTTCAATTTAGACTTAAGAATCACCTAAAACCAAGTCTGGATGAGGGAGATATGCCCGTTTGAAGTTGGACCTGAAGTGCAGTCTTTTAGACCCGGCCGGGTCTATTTAGAACCGGCCGGGCCTCAATGAAAAATTTTCCTGGGTTGCTTTTTAGGCCCATTCGTGTGTTTTTAGGCTCGGCCATGGGTTTTGAGTCCCGGCCGGGTCTCAATGGCGCTAGACAAACAGTTGGCGGGAATTGAACAAATATCTTTGTTTGAAGATATTTATGATTTTTTTGGCTCAAACTCTATAAATAGAACCTCGAACTTCAGATTTAAGGTTAGAAAAACCTTCCAAGAGGCTTAGGCATTGATAGAACAACCATCTTCCTTCCAAAGGCTTTCTTGACCTCATATCACCTTTTAGCTATATATACACAATACATACACCATTAGAGCTTATTTTGGAGCTTTTTGTTAAGATTTCAACCTGAGTTTCACAAACTTGAGGGTGTTTTGAATCAAGTTTGTTAACTAAGAAGTTATCTCTCTTTGCAAGAGGTATAACTTTGCATCTTCTTCCTTACTTCTCTCTCACTCTTTTCCTCTATTTTCCTTGATTTATACACTGTTTTTAGACTATTTTGGATCCATTTCAAGTGTTGGAAATTGGGGTTGAAGAGCTACCAAAGGTAGAGAGGCTTAAAACCCTTTCTTGCACCTTATCCCATAGCTCATACCCTTTGTTTTGCACTTTTTTCTTTGGTTTTCATATTAATTTTCAGAGCCTAAAAAGGCTGGAAAACATGGTTTAAAAGTCTCAAAAGTGGAGGGGTTAGCCATCTGTTCTTGATTTTGCTTACTAGCTTTATATCTCTTGCTATTGTCTATCTTTTTTGTGCTCTTTAAACACACTTTTGGCCACTGTTTTTGGGCTATTTTGGGACTGTTCTTGGACTATTTTGGGGCTGAAATATGTGATTTCAAATTGCACAAAGTGGAGGGGTTAGCCACCCCTCCTTAGGCTTTGTGCCATAGCTTTTTCTATACTTTTTTTACTTACTTTCTCTTGCTTTTAGTCACTGTTTTTGTGTGTGTGTGTGTGTGTGTGTGTGTGTGTAGATTAGGGGCTAT